CAATGAGCACTGCTATGGAAAAACTGAAATCACTTTATTAAAGAGTCCAGACAATGTTTATAAGAAGCTCATTACTCTTCCAGCAAATTAATATTTTTTCTCACCATCAGTATCAGAAAATTAACTGTTTTAGATGAATCAATATTCTTGCTAACTGCATGCAAAATCAAGAAATTAAATAGTCTTATGTAGTTACAACAAAAAGGAGATATGCAAACAGTCCGTGATCATGTTTAGACTAACCAATTAAATCACATAGGATTTACGTTATGAGCTCATCTGAGTCTTCAAATCAACAGATCATGTTCTGTTTGAAAATAATTCCACCAAAAAGCTTGAGAAATCCAGGTACATTCTAAATATAAAGCAAACAAGTAATTACTAGGGTTGATTCTTTTCTCTCCAAAATGATTATTCTGGCAAGCAAATAGTCTTTTTTCTTTCCTTTCACAATAATATTCACAGAAATGTTAAGGCTGTTTTTGGTTCTGCATTTACACAACATCAAATGTAGATTTAAAAAAAAAAATCCTTAATAGTGATAACAAGTAAAGCTAGAGACCATAACATAATTTCTTTGGGCTTTGAAATAACAGTAGCATTTGCTTCTTAATAATCTCATTTTTTTTTTCCTAAGACATCTATCATGACAGTATTGGGGCATCTTACAAAAGATAATTCCCCATTTCTTATATTAACTCGTATTTGGGATCTAAATTAATAATGGGTTCTTGAAAATATGCCAGAAAAAAGTCAGCAGCTTTTCTCTTAACAGCCCCTAGCATAAGTAGAAGGGATAACACATACAGCCTATGAGCACATGGCATGCTGCTTCTCATTTATTCTGAAAACACAAATGAAACATAACAGAATTTCAAAGGACATTTAAGTTGCAAGTCTAACCTGCCAAAGAAAATGGTAGAATTCAGGTTGTTCGTATGTATCCAACATGATCTGGTGATACAGACGCAAGAAACAAATATTTAACATGAACGTAAGGGAAGACACAGAGGCTAGTGAACTTTTTCACATTAGCTTACTCCAGAATTCTGTTTCAAAGCTTAGTGTGTGCTATCATACACTGAACAGACACAATCCTTTTTAGTTGTGCCGTCTCATAATCATCTGACAAATTCCAGGTCCTCCATTCTGGCTCTTCTTTAAGTCTGATTCCTCAAACCAAACGCTTCTAAACTCAGACACAAGCTTTACTTCCTTCACAGAATTCATGGCCAGATTAACCTTCTTTTCCAAATCTTTCTCTCAGCCATGTTCCAGCACTCATTTCCCAGTTTTCCACTCTAACTCCTGCTTAATCTTTCCTATCAGAAAAAAGATTCACTTTTCCACCATTTTGAGATATAAGTATCTTACCTCTGCCTGCCCCAACTTCCTTTTTTTTTTTTTTTCCCTTTTTTGCCACCTTTCAGCCAAAACACACTCCTTTTCCCTAGTTTGACCTCAAACTCTTTGACCTCTCTACACTATCTCCTCCACAAGTTATTCTTATCTTTTGACTTGTCTCTCCTTTCACATCTCCAGATGCAGATGGGATGATGTTAGTTCCAAGTCTGGAAGGATATACTACAGTCTTGAGTCAGAGATGCAGCAGTCCACAAGAACAGGAACGTTTAGACTGTGCAGATGACCTATGATTGACCCACTGAAAGAGCCAGAGCACGTGTTATGGGGCTCTACCAGAGTCTAAATGTTTGGCCCAACTGGGTAGATTTTAATAAGAACATCAGAAGATGTAATCACAGAATTTATACCTTACACCACTATCTCATATCCAAAGAGCATGGGCACCAGAACTTTTTAGAAATAAGACTACAAGAGTTTATACAGTGTAAAATAGGTTTAGATGTTGTGCTAAGAAACACAGTTTAGTGGGGAAACATTGGTGGTAGGTGGACAGTTGGAGTATAAGATATTGGAGGTCTTTTCCAATCTCAGTGATACTACAATCCACTTTTATTTTTGGAACTCACTCAAACAGCTTATGTCAAGGTTTTTTCTGCTTTTGCTTTTGTTTTTGTATTTTTTTGTAATATAAAAAGAAATTGTGCACACTTTTTTGACGTGGACATACCATGTGAAAATCTAAGCCAAAATAGCTTTTGACCAAACTATCACACACCACAGGCCTAAAGATAGCATTTTAGGAAAAAGAAATAGACTAGCAGACTAGATGACTATTTGAAACACCTCATTTTTTTTTTTTTTTAAACTATAATAAGCCTTTGGCAGCCTTAACAAACAGCCAGCCTACTGAAGATCACTGAATGCTCACAAGGGTTGTGTTCCCTTTGGGGGAAGCGCTAGTAAGGACTGCTCAAATTTCCAAGTTTCAACCACAGTAGAAGTAGACAGTTCATTTGAACAGAAACTAAACTTGCATGCAAGCTTCCTTGCCCTACTCAGTCATTACTGGCCAAAGCAAATGTAAATTTAGACTTCAGATAGATACTATCCCTCTTTCAGTTCTGTGACATTACTTAAAAGTCCTGTTGTGAGACCGCTGCAGAATGCCCTCACCCCTCCCAGCTTTCATTATAGCTCTTCAACAATAAATTTGAATAGACGGGTTCACAAGCCTCTGAACAACAGCAACAAACATATGAACAACAACAAAATGAGAAAATTCTGCTGTTAACGTAAGGAGTTCAAGCACACAAAGCATATCCTTTCTACAAGATCCTTTTTAAGAAAGAAAAAAAAAAAGACATCTCCCTGGAAAAGCACACACTCCCCATGCTATTCAAATTCAACCTCTACCAAGCTGAAATTACATTTCACAGGATAGCTGTAACCATTATATCAGAAGCACTGATTTATTATTGTAGGATCATTTTAAATACTGGGCTAGATAAAGTAATTTTATAGAAAATAAATTGGCTGGGGGAAGGGGGAAAAGCACGTAAAATTGATTTTACTAGACTTGGAGGTTTTTCCTTATGCTATTATATTTCTTACTTACAAGTGAACTCTGTAAATTTCAGAAGAATTTCAAGTTGCTGTACTTAAAAATAGCCAGAATCTATATTCCACTTTGGCAAATATTTCTTAGCAATCCTCATCTTACAACAAGCATTCAGAGGTCAGATGACAAGCAAGTATTCTAACAGTTAAAATTACGTTGTTTTAAATTATAACCTTGTTTTATATTTCTAGTCTTTATAGAGTTTTATGAAGTATAAAATTGCAGGCATTAACCTTCTGCCATGACTACTTGAATTCCTGTACAAAGGTATTCAAACTTGTGCAGTCATTTTCTAACAAGAAAAAAAAAGAAAAACACAAAACAACGAAACAAAGCAAAAAAAGCAAGGATGGCTACTTCCCAATAATCAAGTAAACCTCAGATGAATTAGTGAAATTTTACGTGCCTAAATTATATAAATACATATTGAATATATCCATTGGGAATGTAACATCCCACCCACGTTCATGCACCGAATGAATCCACAAGATGTAATACAGTAAAAAATATTTACTTCAGTGTAATCAATGTGAAAGAGTTGTAGTCATATCTAATGGCTCTTAAATACATCAGATTTAATATTTTCCAGGAACTGTTCCATGCCCAGCCAAGCTTGTAAATGTGCATATTACTTATTATAAACAACAAAACAACAAAACAACTTTTTTTCTATCAGTATTAGTGCCACTAAGCTGCAAGGGATCTGCCGCATTATCAACAGCAATCCCCTGCTGTCAAAAACAACAGATCACAAGAATTTCTTTCATAAGCCAATCAAGTTCCAACAAAAAAAAAGCACCTTCTCTCATCCCTCCCTCCAAACATTTCAGTGTTTTACTGTAAAATACAGTTCCTCACAATTTCAAGAATCCTCCACCAACTTCACGCTTAAGTTATGGACTGTTTGTCTCCACTCATTTCTGTTCTATTTGGCTGCGGTTGGACTTGATGATCCTTGAGGTCCCTTCCAACCTGAGTAATTCTATGACTCTGTCACTGGCCTATTGCTTGAAGAGTCCCTTTTGTCTCAGCGTTTTCTCTTCCTCTATTCACTTCACCACTAAGTCAGCCTAGTTCTATACGGCCAGCCACTATCCATAAGCACACATGCACACTAGTCCCTTCTCAGAAAATAGGTTCTGCAAACCTCCATAATCCTAACAAGCCTTTCTCCACAACTTTTCTAATTCCATTTCTTTCTACAGCAAGGGGTGACTCAGAACTGAAAATAGCTCTGCACGCTAAGTTCCATCAGTGCTTTTTACAGTAGTATTAGTAGTCTCCCTACTTACACAGCTGCTGATGAATTACATGCTATTTGCTTTTACTGCAGTTGCAGAACTCTCTTCTATATCCCACTGTAGTCAATTGCTGCCTTCTGAGGAATTAAGCAACAAAGCCTCAATATCAAAGATTTGGAGAGATACGAACATGAGTATTTTGTAAAGATGTGTAGAAAAGCTATGATTCCTTGCAAGATCATTTTGCATTTGGTATTTCAGGACTGGGACTAAGTATATGCAGTTTAACAAAAAAATGGAAGTCACAGTCTGCATTAAAAAAAAATCAGCTAAACCTACATTAATAGAAAATGTCCAAGCTGGCTAAACCCTGGAGTACAAATATACAGGTTTAAATGCCTTCAATTTAAGTTACCTTTCACAGGATGCAGAGAGCACCAGAGTAGTGCAAGATATATTTTAGACCTCAATTACAACAACCTAACAGGATTAAGAGAAAAAACATCTCTAACCATATTTTAATGCACAAATTCCTTATTGTCATTTCTAGTTGACAAATATCTGTTTCATAGCAAAACAACATCATAGGAACAGCTGGATGGCAGTTTTAAGCTCAAATGAACCAGCATCACATGCTGACAAGTCATCTCTCTGATTGCTTTTGAATGGCAGCACATGCAGATTTATTCTCTGCCATAAATTAGAACAATTATTTCTCCATAGTTCACTTTTTATTTCAGACAGTGAGCCCTTTCATACTTTTTTTTAAAGGATATCTTCCCTTTCCTTGATGATAAGCTCATTCTGTTCCTCTAGCTGTCTGATCTTCTTCTCAAATGACTCCTGTTCAGCTTTCAGCCGCTCTTCTGTCACCTCCTTCTCTTCACTCACCCTGAAAAGAATTTGAGAGAAATAAAATATATTCCCATAAACACAGTGCCCAACTTCTAGATCCTTTGCTTAAATAAATGCATCCTCCCCAGCCACATAAAGCTACATTTCTCATAATGTTTGCTCTATCATATTACACTGAAAGTTGCATAAAGATTCCCAAGAAATTATTTTTTCAAAGACAGTGGTCTCAACAGAGTGCATGCACATTAATGGGAAGCACAGAACTACAAAGTAAGGCTCTGAACCCACAGTGAGGTCTGAGCAGACTGATTTTCTGCAGCTGTAATGAAGACACATTGGGATCCATATAAGCCTAGGGCATGTAGACAGAAAATTCAAATGGGTGAGCTTAGCTACTGAGACAGAAAGGAAATTGAAAAATCTCTTTTCTTTCTTAATCTATAAACTAATTCTTCTTTCACATTTACTGGTCAAATATAAGTTCAAGAAAGGAACATTTTTCTTGTTAGTTTTTCTCCAAATGAAACAGCTTGCCTTCTTCTGTGGATCTTAAAATATCAAGCCACTGGAGTAAATTCTCCTTTCTGCCTGGGCCATGGCACCCTGTATATTGCTGCCCAGTGTAAATAATTAGATCTAGATTAAAAGATTATAATGTGAGAAATTTTTACTATGATCATTTATTCTACATCTCAAGGGGAGTTGTAAAAACAGTTGTTCTGTTATCATGTAGGCAAAATGACCATTCCATATTGATGATTCTGTGACTATGTTAAAAACATGGCTAAATATAGATACAAACACACATAAAAGCCATTCAGGGTCTGAGCCACCATTTGTCATCATCTTTCCCTTCTTAAGACGACGCAGAATTATTCTGGTCTTCCAACAGAAAAGCCATAAATACTACAATTAGGTCACCCCTCCAGGGTGAGCTACAAGCAGGCAACATTCCCAAACTCTAAGCTCAACCTACAGCCTTTCCCACAGCATCTCTAACAGACTACATGAATTCATAAATTATCAATAATACCAAAACTTGCACCTTTTCTCTACAAACCTAGAGGCTGAAAAATAACATACAGAATATATCAAATTCCATAAATTAGGACAGTTTGATAGCTTGGAACGAGCTGTTAAGCATAAAGTTTCTAGGTTAAAAAAGACATGGATTTAGTATCAAAATATTCCATTATTCATATGCCCAAGGCCTTATTTACAACCCTATGCCCTAACACTCCAAGGCTCCCTTCTCTCCCTCAAAGACTTAACAGAGGTTTGTACACATCAGATAATAAATAATGAAGAGAAACAGCTACATTAACTCTGCATCCATCTCATCCATATGCTCCTGTAATGTGAGCAGGCAACAAGTCTTTGAGAGTGGTCAACCATAAATCCTTGCTCCCCAACAGTCACAGGAGTGGTATATATGCCACAGGCCGCAGACCCAGGCTTTTCCATCTACCCAAACCAGTTTGTTTCCTCTGAATCAAGAGCAATCAGATAAAGAGTCTAGAGCATATGACCTATCTTCATGTGAACAGCAAAAGATATAAGCCTGTGTATTTTTTCCTAGAGTTAGGAGTAGTAGAGAATAGCGAATAAAAGATACCAATCAGAAAAAAAACAATGAAGGTAGCAATGGGCAGATAAATGAAATACATGAAGGAAACAAGAACAGAAAAAACAATTAGAAGAGGAACAGTGGACAAGTACTGTCTCCAGGACACCATACAAGGAAGGATGCTTGTTTACTAAGTAGAAGACAGATGCTGCATTAGAACATGGTTAAGAACAAATGAAACTCTGGACAATGCTGGCAAGCAAGAATGTGAAAATCAAACAATAACACATGAAAATGTGATGAAGAAAGAAAGAACTGTGCAGTAGTGTAACTGCTCTAAAACAGGCTTCACCCATTTCTAGATTCTGTGATTTGCTGCTTGTATCCGTCTGCATCACATTCACTTGCTCTGTTTGTATTTAACACAGATCACAGAAGGCTGACATACTCACAGACACATGAATATACTGTGCCACATATCTTATGCAGTAAATGACTGAGAACAGTAAGTGATCTTAGAAGAAACGTGGCGATATGTGTTTATGTATCACAAAGCAGAAGACAGCTCATAAAGGGCAGGCAAGATATAGAAGACAGTTACTCACAGGAGGTGGCAAAAGAAAGTTAGAGAAAAGAAATATAAGAATGTCATCAGATTGTGCTGGATTTATGTCATATCCTATACATAGCTCAGAGAGATTTTTTTATATCCTTCTTTCTTTGCCTTCTGGCAGTAAAGAACAGAAGATTCTTAGCAAAACTATGAAGGAATTCACTGCTGCCAAACAGAAACATTTCAAGGCTCACAATGCTCCTAGAAAGAAATGTAACTTGTTTTTCCTCTGGTCAGAAAGCAACAAAAAAAAAGACTGTGTTTTTCCATGGTTGGAAAGCAACAGAGAAAGGAAGGCGGCTCTCCATCTACAAAGGGCACAACCACTCCACTGGGCAACGTATTGATGTTCAGCTTGACTGTCATTGTTTGCAGGTGCAAATAAAGACTGATAACTGAATGTGAAGATGACATATCAGTAGAACTATTTCTGCTGTTAAATGTCTACAATATTTCTTTGTGTATAAATTTACATTCACCTAACCTGTGGCATAGGTCACAGACATCTTTGTTCAATATTTGTTTTAAATTCAACACTTCAAGCTCATGCAATTCTAGATGCATCTAGATGAAGATCTTTATTTTGCAGGAGCCTCTGTAGAAAATAAATAAATAAAAGTGATGTAGATATACCGACAGACCCTCCTAAGACACCAGCCTTAGGGTTCAAACTAATTCTTTATTCACCAGTTCCAGTTATGATGTGCTCCTGTGTTTACTGCTGCTACTGTCTCATCTTAAGAAGCAACTGATCAGCAACTTTGCTGATGAAACTGACTCAATCCTCTGAGGAAAAGAGACTGATGCTCTCCAGATAGAATTTTTAAAGCAACACATAGGCCAACAGCACTAAGTTTTATTTGTCTAATGAAAACTGTCATGCAATGGGAAGAGTCAGAACAATACTAACATCAACATCACACCACAGACAAAGCACAAAAGTAACTCCTCTTGACTGAAAGAGCCCAGAAACTTTGAAAAAGAAAACAAAGGAAGGAAGCAATGACAAAGCAAATGAAAAGCAGCATTTTCACTTTTTAAAATCCAAACATAGTGAGAATGGTAGCTGAGCAAGTTAAGACAAAGAAGACAAAACAAGAAGCACAGCCGCTGGAAGCCTCACTCATCAGTCACATACTTGTTGGGAGCATTTACCTTTTGGGAACATTTGCTTGAAAGTAGTGTGCTAACAAGTTTTAAAAAAAAAAAACATTTTGGTGACCACTCTTGCAAACCACAGGATTTAAATTTCAAGAAAAAAATGGCATCTGGAGTAGGCATGGTGACAGGAGGAAAAACACAGACCAAGGACCAAGATAAGTGCATCAGACAGAGCCCTACATACACGAACCACAGAATGCAATTGGATATTCCAAGTGAAAGATGTGCACCAAAAAGATGAAACAAATTTAATGCCAGACTCCATCACAACATGCCTCTGGCAGAAATGGGCAACAGTGACATTTAGTATCAGCACTGCAGGAAGACAGAATGGCAGCAGTTTTGTCTTAAGGGTACTGTTTGCAAATGTGATGCATTTTACTCAAGTGTCACAAGCAGTCTGTATAAATTTAAAAAATAACAAAAAAAAAAAAAAAAAAAACAAAAACCTCCAACAATCCCATAATTGAAATTGGTGCACAATGGATATATTTTATTATATGCAGCTTGCAAAATAATACAAAACCTGATCTCACAGCATGAATTTATAGCTACAAATGACTTTTTAAGTACAAAAGGTAAGCGTGATTGGTGATGCAATAATTCTAGGCATGCTTTACCTATCAACGAGAAGCAATTTTCATACAAGCTTAGGGATATCTCATTTGCAGTCTCAATGCCTGACTAATTAAGAGGACTGCAGCAGAATATTGTCTCTTAAAGTAACACATGCACATACACATAAATAAAAAGATTGATACTGAAGTTATAGCCTGGTAACAATTTGCTAAATATGAGATAAATATAGGCAAACCCAGGAAAGAAGGCAGCTCAAGTGGTCAAATGCTGTGCCTTTCTAAAATGGACTTCCACATGCAAGCTGTCCTTCAAAGATTCTAAGTGCAGGAGGGACAACGCTTAAATCAGAGGTACATGCTACAAATAGTTCTACTGTATTCCTTTGCAATGGTTTCCCGTTCTGTACTCAAATTAGCCTTCTGCTTTAATTCCACCTTCAGCTTTTTTAGAAAACTTCTGTTTTAGCAGGTCTATTTCATCTTAATGTCAGGTACAAAAGTCCACATAACGCAATGCTAGCGGACAAGATTTGTGTCCCAGACAGCCACCACTCTACAAAGAGTTTAGGAAGCCAGTGGCTTGGGAAGGATGAAGCATTTCTCTGTGAGGTACAAAGGGCTGTCTAAAAGCTGTTTATCTAGCTGCTAAGTACAAGTCATTCTGGGGGTGCCATCAGTCTTTGCCAGAAAGACACTCATCTGATAGCAAAAAACTATATATATTATCTCTGAAAAGGGCAGTCACTCCTGTTTTTGAGGATAAGGACATTATCTTTGTACCTAGGTTACTTTCATGGACTTGTTTGCAAAAACTACAGGGAACCATAGAAACACAAAGGTTGAAAAGGCCTCCAAGATCACCTGGTCCCTCTACCCATCTACCACCAATATTGCCCACTAAGCTGTGCTCCTTAGTACCCTATCTCCAAATTTCTTGAACACCCCCAGGGATAACAATTCCATCATCTCACAAGGCAGCCTGTTCCAGTGTCTGACCACTCTTTCAGAAGGGATTTTTTTTTCTAACATCCAACTTGCAACTCCTTATCCTAAAACTTTAAATAAGATAAACTAAACAGTTAGATGCAAATTCTCAATACTAAAAGCCAAAACAAAAACAAAACAAAAAAAAACTATCATAACCATTCCATGTCTTATAGTCAGTTCATTCAAAAGAAAGCTGTATGTGAGCTGTACTTTTAAATGTTAAAGGCAGAACTATGACGTGCATCATAGCAGGAGTCAGAAAGTCAAAATTCTGTAGCTATGTGTCAGGAGCAAGGTAAACACTTCCAAGTGTTTACATACATTTTCTCTACAAACTAAGTTAAGATCATTTTCATTCAGCTAAATGCTGAGACCTCTCAAAATCTGCCTATAGCTTTTAAAATGTATGAAATCATTCTCAGTATGGTCTTTAGCAAGTCCTTAATGCTCAACAGTCAACTGGATAGATCCCAAGACAGCTTGCACTCCCTCTTGGAAGAGGCTAATGTGTCCTGACACTGGCACACAGTATGATGGTAAGAACCTTTCAGTGTCTTCACTGTGTCACTACTCATTTCATTACATAAGCTGATGACTGCTTTAGGAGTAGCCTGCAGGAACAAAAGCTGAGATAAAGACTATTTTTTTTTTCTCTTAAAAGGATTCTGCTTGTAGGGAGAGTTAAAATTTGCTCTTACCATGTGCCTAATACTTTCATCACCATGCCAGCAGCATCTTGTTGAAAACATGAAGGTACCATGCTGGTTGGCTTTGAAAATCATGGGAAATTCTTGAATGTGATCACCCATTTACTCACAGAGCTCCTCAGCGTTCATGGGCATGACTCTGCAAATCTACAATATTACAAGGCCAAGTTGAAGACGTTGCACTTGGATCAGAGCAATCCCAGATATGAGTGGAAACTGGGAGAACTCATTGAGAGCAGCCCCATGGAGAAAGACTTGCAGATTCTGGTGGACAAAAAGCTGGATGTGAGCCAGCAGTCCCTATATGCAGCCTGGAAGGCCAACTGTGTCCTGGGCTGCATCAACAGAGGGACTGCCAGCAGGGTGAGGAAGGTTACTCTCCCCTTACTCTGCCTTCATGAGAGCCCACCTGGAGCACTGCATCCAGGGCCTGGAGCCCCCAGGACAATTGTTTAGATGGTCTGATACTGATAGGACAAGGGGAAATTGCTTTAATCTAAATGAGGGGAGATTTACATTAGATGTTAGGGAAGAACTTTTTTTTACTCAGAGGACAGTGAGGCACTGGCATTGGCTGCCCAGAGAAGCTGTGGATGTCCCATCCCTGGAGGGGGTCAAGGTCATATTGGATGGCGCCCTGGGCAGCCTGATAAGAAGGTGACAGCTGTGCCCACAACAGAGGGTTGTAACTGGATGGTCTTTAAGGTCACTTACAACTCAAGACATTCCATAATTCTGCAATATTCCAGTTTTCTAAGTTTGCATCCAGTTTGCATTTCTCTTTTCACTTTAGGAGGGAAGATAAACTTGATATGTTCAAAAGAAAAATAATGGTTAGATTATCACAGAGCAAAACCTAAGATTATTCTAAACAAGAAAGAAGGATTAGAAAGGAGACAGCTGTGTCCTTCCATTCAACACTGTCTCAAAATTCAATTTCATCAAGTCTCTAACAGCTAACGTGATGTCAACCACTGGAATTCCCAACAGTAGAGTATAAGTCGAGCAGAGTAACTCAGTTTTTCAAAGGAAAGTATAATAACAATAATTATTAGGTGTGGCCAGCAGGGAGAAGGAAGTGATTGTCCCCCTCTGCTCAGCTCTTGTGAGGCCCCATCTGCAGCACTGCGTCCAGGCCTCAGGCCCCCAGCACAAGAAAGATGCAGAGCTCTTGGAATGGATCCAGAGGAGGGCACTAGGATGATCAGAGGGCTGGAGCACCTCTCCTGCGAGGAAGGGTTGAGGGAACTGCGATTGCTTAGCTTGAAAAAGAGAAGGCTCTGGGGAGACCTCATTCTAGCCTTCCAGTACTTGAAGGGAGCATATAAACAGGAGGGGGAACGGCTGTTTATGAGGCTGGATAGTGATGGGACAAGGGGGAGTGGTTTTAAACTGAGACAGGGGAGGTTTAGGTTAGATATCAGGAGGAAGATTTTCACACAGAGGATGGTAACACACTGGAAGAGGTTGCCAAGGAGGTTGTGGATGCCCCATCCCTGGAGGCATTCAAGGCCAGGCTGGATGTGGCTCTGGGCAGCCTGGTCTGGTGGCTGGTGACCCTGCATGTAGCAGGGGAGTTGAAACAACATGATAACTGTGGTCCTATTGAACCCAGATCATCCTATGATTCTGTGGTAATATAGGCAGCATCACAATTTACTCGCACCAAGACAAAGTCTCACACTTCAGCATATAAGCTGATGCATTTTCTCAGTGTTCAAAAGTGCAATGGGAATGAGAGTTGGAGGAAAAGAAGGGAAAATAGGAAAAGTACATCAGCTTTCCTTCAGCAGCTGCAGAAGTCAGGTGAATAACACTACTCTGAACTGCTAAAGCAAGATGTGGTTGAAATCCAAGCACCAGACATTAATCATATTTTGCCACTGGTTTCTATGCAGACAGAATTTTGTCACTGCACATCTGCCTTCATGCGGAGAGTTGCTGACCAGCATATCTGCCTTCATGCAAGCAGTTGTTGACCAATCTTTTTCTTCCACCATCCTGCAATAACCATGCAGCAATCAGTTTCAACCACCATTACTCTAATTCACAAACAGCATCAAAATAAGAATGTTTAATTACAGCTCTGGTCAAGTGAGATCTTTATTCTTCCAGTTATTTAGTACAGGACAGTCTTCCCAGAAAATTTTAAGCATTCTGCTGGTTCCTTTTCTTCTTTAAAACAGCAGCAAATGTTCTGTCTGTAAGAAGCTCTCCATCATTGCACAACTCAAGATGAAAATTATGGAGAGTTTGTAAAAAGTGACGAGGTGAGCGGAATTAAAGTTCAACATCCCTATTACTCTGCGAAGGACTTTTAATTACATTCAATAAAAATATGATTAGGTTTAAAAATAAAAGAGAACTAAGTATGAGAACTAAGTATAAAATAATAGTGTTCCACTAATTTTACTTTTCAAAATTAATGTTGCTGCACCTTCTATTTTTCTTCGAAGAAATGTCAGGCAGAAATATCAAGCTGTCCTTGGGGAAAAATCATAGCATCTGAGATTTAAGAAGAATCCCATACTCAAATGAGTTAGTGTACAAGTATTCACTAGGGAGCAGTGTATTACGAGGAACAATGAAGTGAAAGACTTTTTTAAATATTAGAATATATCTCTATATATCAACAGTGGCAACAGTGTCCGAATAGCTCCAACATCTGACAATTTGTAACCAGGCTTCCTAGCAATCTACTCATTTTGACAGCCTTAACTAGACATTTTCTAACACATGAGGTAGGATAAAATAGCATTGCAAGCATGAAGAACTTCAGAAATTACTGAAATGTTGCATAGCAAGGAATCCTACATGGGCACAAATTATTAGTGGGCAAAATGGTCTTGTGGATGAGGACAATCAGAGAGAAAATACTCTTAGCTGCACCAGAGACTTATTGCATGACCTTGAACAAGTAACTTAATTTCTCTGCCCAAGTTTTCCTTTATGAAAAGAAAAAGGACAGTAATGCTTGCCAATTACTGCACATATAAAATTTATGATGAAAAGTATTTCATTAATACTGAGAACTTGCACTCTGTTCTAGCAAAATTTTGCAGCTAAGCTCTGAGCATGGACACTATCAGCCCAGAGGACTTAAGATGGCCTCATGAAGTTTTCTCCTCTGGTATCGTAATACAGCCTGCCACAGTTCCACGTGTTCCTCAGTTTTTATAGGCATCATGCAAGAAGCAGATTCCCAGAGATTCTAAAGCATAAGGGACAGAGAAGAAAAACAACCCTTCTCTCCCACTCAAATTTATCTTTGACATCATTTGTCTCCATAAATGCAACTAGTACAGGAATGAAAATCAAAAACTTCTCACTCAAGCTGAGAAAATTCCATCACTACAGCTTCTCTTTTCACAGAATTAGGAGAACATGAAGAAATTAAAGTAGAATTTTGCCAAATTAAGTTGGCAAAATAAGCTAAAACCACAGTGGATTCTATTGCTCTACACATGCAAACATGAGTACATACAGATTAGCATTTTTTAGTCACAAGATCAGCAATCCATCTGTAAGGTACAGTTCCTTATACATGTTTATTCCTGACAAATAAGCATTACAGAATTTCATATCAGTGATGTTCTTACTTCCAGAAGACAATATTTATAAGCATAAACCTATATAACATGTTTAAAGTACAGGTTAAACACAGCAAACAAAATTCTAGTCCTGTGACTGTATTTATATGGATGAACTACTGCAGGTCACAAAACTTTGGCTTCTGCTTTCATTATGTTTAGGATATTTTGGGCTGAAACAGGGAAAAACTGATCAGGCTGCTTCACTATTCATACCTCTTCTAGGAATAAAAATTACTTTATGCAAATATTCAGTTCCATAATGCAGTTCTATATTACTTGATGTTAATTAGAAGAATGACTCTCCTTAACCATAATGCATTTTCAGGTGATGCTTATTCTCACCTGGCAAGTTCTTTAATTAAGTTTGCAATGCGTCTCTTGTCCTCAGGACATAAATCCTTTAAAGAAGCACTCTTCATTCCTCCTTCATTAGTGACCTGAAAATTGAAAGCCACATTTTAGAAAGTACTCTTAAAAGAGAACAAGTATTTCATAAGACATTAAAAGCATTTCTGACCTAGTAATTAGAAGCTGAAGATAGACAAATTCCAACTGGAAATAGTGTGCATACTTTCATCTGTAAGTACAGTTCAGTGGAGCAAATTACCAAAATTGTGGAGAATTATGAGAGACTTGAAACTTGTAAAATGCAGGATACTTTCTTCAACACTAAACATGTTGAGTAAAGTTTCAAGACTGATACTATTCACTGATCTATATTAGATAAAATGCAATAGATTCTCATGACTTAGAAATCTAGTGCAGCAATATTCAAACCCAGATTCAAACTTTATTTTATTGGAATCCTGAAATACTGAGTAAGAAAAAAACATTCCGATTTAGCAACTGTCAGCAAAGCAAACAAAACAGTAAAAAATGCGTGCAATGTGTTGTTAATGTAAGTACATATTTCATACAATCTTTTAATGCATCAAAAAGTACACAGCCCTTTGTAAGTCACCATCATTTGTTTCTAATTATTTATATGCTACCTTCTCAACTTACCATTCCTTCTCAGAAGAAATCTTTAGCGTATTCCAGTACTTCAGTTCTTTTAATGCATTCATTTATTACTGTTAAAAACTGCAGCATTTGTTATCAATGTCCACCAGAGGGCATATTGCTCTACATCTGTGCAATAATCCTTTGCAGTGCCTAGCTACTGCTATTACTACCTACTTCGGGTGTTTCCCAGTGGGAAAAAAATCTTTAGTCAAAATTGCTTTTATTCTCCAGAAACTTCAGTCAGTTCTCCACTGCTAGCAATAAGCACAAAATAAGAAGCCCAAGATGACAGCAGTAATAATAGCTGTGCTGGTGTGCCCAAGATTTTGGCAAGTTTAAATATTTCCACTTAGTCTTACTCGTTTATTTTCAGTCCAGCCTTTTACAAACCTCCCTGAGCACATGCAGTGCTCAGCATTAGATACAAGAAGGCTACCAAATGCTTTGCAGCTTGGCCAAGTTAGCACAATACAGCACAGAAGAACCTCTGAACATAGAAAAGCAAACACTGGACTTATCTCCCCTCCTTAGCAGTAATAGCAGCTGACCTACACACATCAGAGAGGAAGTGCCCCTTTCCACTCTTAGCTAATTGCTTCTTGAACAGTGGTTTAAAACAAAGGACTATACAGCTTTCCAAAGAGGTGATGATTTTACAGTCTTGTTATATTCACCTGACCCTGCGAGTACGCTCTCATTTTAACTTCAAGATAGTTTCCTTGAAAAAACAGTTTCACAAGACAAATTACATTTTGGTGCTTTTCAAGGGGATTCCAATTTCCTTCCCAAGCATATACCATTTACTATACACAAAGAAAGCCTTCAACACAACTGAATTTAAGTTTAACTAAACGTATAGTTAAAGGATGTTCATTTCCTATGTTGCAAATGTCTGAAAATTTTTATTTTCTTTTTAGTTGACTGCTGCTGGAATTTTTTTTTTTTTTAAAAAAAGTTCTTCTTCATTCAAAAAGTGTCATAAACTGAATTGCTTTAATAGATGAGATTTCAACAGAATGTCCACATACATATTTTCAGACAAACAAACAGAAGGAAAAGGAAAAATTGGAAAATTAGTCCATGCTTGTTAGTACCATCCATAGGTATAGATGGCAGACAAAAAATTCTTAAGGCAGACTAGTATTGTAATATTTGTCATAGAATGGCTTATGTTGGAAGGGGCCTTAAAGCCCATCAAGTTCCAAACCCCTGCCATGGGCACAGCAGCCAACTATCAACCAGATCAGGCTGCCCAGGTCCCGAGATGGGGCATCCCACATTCTCTGGGTAACTTGTAATAGTGGCTTACCACCCTCTGAGTAAAGAATTCCTAAACAACTAACCTAAATTTCTCCTCTTTTGCTTAAGGCCATTCCTCTTTGTCCTATTGCTACCAGATCATGTAACAAGTCAGTCCCTCTCCAGCTTCTAAGCTCTCCTCAAGTACTGGAAGGCTGCAGTGAGGCTTTACTGGAGCCTCCTCTTCTCCAGGCTGAACAAGCTCCCTCAGCCTGCCTTCACAGGAGAGGTGCTCCCTCCAAGCACCTTCATGGCCCTCCTCTGGACTCCTCCAACAGCTCCTCATCACTCCTGGGCAGGGGACCCAGACCTGGATGCAGTACTCCAGATAGGGCCTTAAAGTAGCAGAGTAGAGAGGGACAATCACTTTCCAGCCCTGCTGGCTTCACTTCTCAAAATGAAACTGTGGAATTAAGCGCAGCAACAGCTCTGCCACAATCATAAAAACAAGACAACAAATAAGATAGATTCCAAGACCTTATAGACTCCCTTTTCAAGATGTTTGCCCTTTCTACACACCTACATAATTTCATAACTCCGTATTTTCTAGAGGAAGTACACTACATAAGGAGAAGATGCTCTCACTTTATAAACCACACATTGAAAGAGGACAACTTGCTGACAAAGCAGACAAATTCCATCAAACGGAAAGTAGGAAGATGGAAAATTATGATCAAGAACAGTTAACCATTGATTTATTCAAACTGCAAAAAAAACTCCAGAGCTAACAAGAGTTCCTGAAGTCTTCTCCAAAACTCTCAACCTATTATGCTTAGTCAAGTCCACATGGAATAAAAGGTAAGTAATTATTTCTGCTAAGATTCAAGTTAGACTGAAATCCAAACCATTCTCTTCAGTAGACAATCCTGGTAAATTGTAATAGTGAGCTACCTACCAATACAAAAATTAAGTGATTAAATCTCTCTAGACATGCATATAACCCTACATGCACCTGGAAGAAAATTATTTATGTTAGTCATGAAAACTCCTTGTGAAAAAACTTGGAGAAACCTTCCTCTTCTATAACAAGTAAAATGTATTTGTTCTGTTCGTTTCAAGCAATTCAGAGTTTATCTTCAAAGTACAAGGTTTCCATGAGGAATTTAAATGACATGAGAAAAAAACAGGTTAAAAAAGAGTAAAAGATTTGAAGCTATTGTATTGTCACAGTTGTAAAAGTACATCTGAATCTCAAATGCAGATTTGGTGTATTACACACTATACATAAAAGAATAATAATAATTTCTAAATAATTTTCACCAGGAAAACTGAATAAAATTTCTCTAAACAGCAACTAATACTAGCAACACAAAATACAAGAAAGTAGATTTTAAAGTGAGGTACGAAGACATCTATGAGGCACGTCGCTTGCAGATGCTTACAGTGAAATGTATTTACATAAAGATTCTGCATAATGGCAGCTATTTGTGAAATTTCTCCACATGTCACTTAACAACATCATTTGCAAAGTGGAAGGACATACCAGCCTTCTAAAAGCAAGTACTGATAAAAAGAAATATAAACTGAGAAGAGACCAGGAGCAGTCCTAAAAAACGAATACTAGCATGTCATAAGATGGAAAGTAGAGCTACTTAAGGACTGAAAGAGCAATGACACTGTCAAACTATCGAGAACAGCATGATCTATCTTCACACTGAACATACATGTGAGGCATACAGCATTTAGTCAGCACACAGATGACAGGCATCTTCACCCAGACACAAAATAATTGTTTAATGCATGTTAATGAAGCAGTGAACCTGAAGCAATCAAAAATTTTAGATACTGCCTGGAAGTACAAAGATACCTCACATTAGTAATTTAGAAACTCACTCCAGGTGACTACCTAGCAAGAAACTTAACAGCACTGAAATGGCTTTCAAATGGCTTTCGTAGTCAATATGCTGTCCAAATCTTGTTAGAAAAACGGCATTGCTCAATAATTTTACAAATATCACGAGAATCGTAGAATCACAAGGCTGACAGCAACCTGCAAGATCATCTAGTCCAACTGCCCTGCCATCACCATTGCTACCACAAGCATTAAACCATATCTCGCAGCTCCTCATCCAGATGCCTACTGAACACTGCCAGGGACAGCAACTCCACCACCGCCATTCCAGTGCCTGACCACTCTCTGAGAGAGAAAGTTCTTCCTTATATTCCTTAGGTTGGATATAACCTAAACCTCCTCTGATACAACTTGCAGCCATTTCCCCAGGTCCTGCTCACTGCCTGGAAGAAGAGGCCAAACCTGTCTTCACCACAACCTTCCTTCAGGAAGTTGTACAGTAGTGCAATGAGGTCTCACCTGAGCCTCCTCTTCTCCACACAATCCCAGCTCCTTCAGCTGCTCCTCGTAAGACTTGTGCTCCAGACCCCTCACCAGTTTCGCTGCCCTTCTCTGGACACGTTCCAAGGCCTCAGTGTCTTTCTTGCAGTGAAGGGCCCAAAACTGAACACAGTAGTTGAGGTGCAGCCTCACCAGTGCTGAGTAGAGGGGGATGATCACCTCCCTGCTCCTGCTGGCCACACTATTTCTAATGCAGGCCAGGATGCCGTTGGCCCTCTTGGCCACTTAGGCACACTGTCAGCTCATGTTCAGCCAAGCATCAACCAACACCCCCAGGTCCCTTTGCTCTTCACAGTCATCCAGCCACTTGTCCCCAAGCCTATAGCACTGCATGTGGTTGTTGCGGCCAAAGTGCAGCACCCAGCACTTGGCCTTGTTGAACCTCATCCCCGCAATCCAGCTTATCCAGATCCCTCTGGACACTACCTCCCAACTTGGTGTCATCTGCAAACTTACTGAGGGTGCACTCAATGCCCTCGTCTAGGTCATCAATAAAGATATTAAACAAGATAGGCCCCTGTACCGACCCCTGAGGGACACCACTTGAAACAGGTCACCAGCTGGACTTCACACCATTAACCACTACCCGTTTGGCATGGCCCTCTAGTCAGTTCCTTACCCAAAGAAGGGTATATCTGTCCAGGCCATGGACAGCCAGTTTCCCCAGAAGAATCCTGTAAGAGACTGTGTCAAAGGCTTTGCTGAAGTCTAGGTAGACTACATCAACAGTCTTTACCTCATCTACCTCGTCTGGTCATCCAGTTGTAGAAGGAGATGAGGTTGGTCAAGCACTGCCTTTTATGAAACCATGCTGGCTGGGCCTGATCCCCTGGACACCACGCACATGCCCTGTGATCTCACCCAAGATGATTTGCTCCATTAATTTCCCTGGTACCCAGGTCAGGCTGACAGGCCTATAGTTCCCCAGATCCTCCTTACGGCCCTTCTTGATCAGAGTCACACCAGCAAGCCTCTAATCCTCTGGGACCTCTCCAGTTAACCAGGAGTGCTGATAGATGGCTAAGAGCAGCTCGGCAATCACCCTGCCAGCTCCCTCAGCACCCAGGGGTGTAGGCCATCCAGTCCCATGGACTTGTGACAGTCCAGACGGAGGAGGAGCTCTCTGACTGTCTCCACCTGAATCACTGGGGGTATATTTGAGTAGCATTCCAGACTTCCAGATCAGGGCATAAAATGCCCAGAGGATAACTGCTATTAAAAGCAGATGCCTTAGTATACAAAATAAACTTCTGAGGAAAACTCCACTGCTCTGAAACTTGCAAACTTTGAACTATGGGAGAAGTGTCTTCTGCAACAGGAGTCGACAAGACAATTCACTGCAGCAATCAAAGATATTATCAACTTACTACATTACTCCTATTACTCTGACACGTTTTAACTTTTACTGTCAGAAATGGAAAGCTATTTTACCTTGTTACATGAGCAGCCACAACTGCTCTGAAAAAAATATTATAGGTGTTGCTTCTAAAAGTTAAAACACGTCCAATGGAACTAGTCTATCTACTCAGACTGAAATACTACCAGTGTGTTTGGCAAGTAACATATAGATTAGGTGCTACTCAAATCTGCTCCCTCCCTCTACACATCTATTTTACATTCATTTTACATAGCACTGGTTGCATACCACTTGCACAAATGAGCACACTCAGCTTTTGTTCTCTTTTAGATAGCAAGCCACCCAAGTGGAAAAGTAATTTTGCCAGCAGGTCACAGCGCAAGTGGGCAAAAAATTCAAGTCTGCAAGAACAATAGCTCTCTAAAACCATTCAGAAGTTTTCAGTCTAAAGATTTTCTGACATCTTTCCACTACACACACTCAGCACAGCATGAAAAATTTGCCTCTACTGACCTGATGTACTGTCAGATCTCCTGTGCTTCTAGCAGGATCCATGGAAACAGAAGAAACAGCTATAGGCACTTTCAGCTCAGTTTCACCTTTATGACATTTTGGCAAATATCTTGTTCTTAAATTCCCTTTTGTAGACAACCCTGTAGATGAAAGACAAACAAAACACACAGATCATGAAGTCAAAAGGGACCCTTCTTTAGCAGCGAATAACGAAAATTTCAGTATTTCTTCGCAGTTTCCCTAAGAGTCTTACTCCATACAAAATTTTGCAATGATGAGTACATTAGCAGAAAAAAAGGAAGTGCATGGTACTGAACAGCACCCAGTCACACGGATATGGAAGTAAATTCTGAAACATGCTCTTTTTCTTCTGAGATTCAACACAAAAATTTACGTTTAAGATGCAAAAGCATAAAACCAACTGATGCTTTGACATTCAAAGACGAACAGGAACCAAAGGGAAGTTGGACTGTTAAAATTTCTGTGATAAAATACACATTTTTTCTGTTATTCAGCCTGCCTACTAATTGCTCAGACTAACTCTTCCTCTCAGGATCACACACATGAGTGAAGTAACACTGCAGTGCACACCCTAGAGATCCTGCCATACATGGAACTAGTCTACTCCTACTGATGGTTACAACAATATAGCAGTGAATATCCTCACAGTGCAATTATAAAGTGCCAACACCAACCCTGAAACCTTCTACAACCATATGAAAACCGGCAGCCTGAAAGATCGAGTTTTGATTGTTCAGAAGTGCAAAAAATTTTGAACAAAAAATACGGAATTTGCACTAGCAAATTGCTCACTTTTCCTTGGGCAATGAACTTGAGAAGTGAGACAACAGTTCAAGTTAAAGAACAAAATTAACAAGCTTTAACATCTCCTTGCTTGGACACGAGGAAAACAATGTTTCTGACATTCTTCTCACAAACACCAGAGAGGAAGAGTATTACACAAAGTCATCATTTCCAGCATTCTGGATTGGTGCTTTTTTTCATAGGACACATTGTATAACATCACCTGGCCTGAGCTATGCTATTTAAAAAATACAGAGGCTGCTTCAAAAGTAATGCATCCTATTTAATTCCATGGAAACTGCAACAGATACAGAATCACAGAATCGTAGGGGTTGGAAGGGACCTCCAGAGATTCCAACCCCCTGCCAAAGCAGGTTCCCTACACCAGGTCACACAGTTAGGTGTCCAGGCAGGTCTTGAACATCTCCAGAGAAGGAGACTCCACCACCTCCCTGGGCAGCCTGTTCCAGTGCTCCGTCACCTCACTGTAAAGAAGTTCTTGCACACATTTGTGCGGAACTTCCTATGCTGCATTTCTGGCCATTCCCCCTCATCCTCTCTCCACACACTGCTGAAAAGAGTCTGGCCTTGCCATTCTGCCCCCCACACCTTAGATATTTATAGACCTGGATCAGGTCTCCTCTCAGTCTCCTTTTCTCAAGGCTGAACAGACCCAGTTCACTCAGCCTTTCCTCATAGCAGAGATGCTCCAGGCCCTTCACCATCTTCCTGGCCCTCCGCTGGACTCTTTCCAAGAGATCCCTGTCTTTTTTGTACTGGGGAGCCCAGAACTGGACGCAGTACTCCAGATGAGGTCTTACCAGGGCAGAGTAGAGGGGGAGGATCACCTCCCTTGACCTGCTGGCCATGCTCTTTTTAATGCACCCCAGGATGCCATTGGCCTTTTTGGTCACAAGGGCACACTGCTGGCTCATGGCCAACCTGTCATCCACCAGGACACACAGGTCCCTCTCTGCAGAGCTCCTCTCCAGCAGCTCATCCCTCAACCTGTACTGGTGCATGCAATTATTCCTCCCTAGATGCAAGACTCTACACTTGCTTTTGTTGAACCTCATCTGGTTTCTTACTGCCCAGCTCTCCAGCCTGTTCAGGTCTCGCTGAATGGCAGCACGGCCTTCAGGCATGTCAGCCAATCCTCCCAACTTCGTATCATCAGCAAACTTGCTGAGGCTGGCCACTATCCCCTCATCAAGGTCACTGATGCAGATGTTGAACGAGACCAGACCCAGCACCCACCCCTGAGGAACACCGCTACAGGTCTGCAACCGGACTCTGCATCGCCAACTGACGTCATCTATGTGAACTTGTGCAAAGCATTTGGCACTGTTCTGCATGACTTTCTGGTCATCAAATTGGAGAAATATGGATTTGATGGATGGACCACTGGCTAGATAAGAAATTGGCTGGATGGTCGCACTCAGAGTTACAGTCAATGGCATAATGTCCAGGTGGAGACTGATGACAAGTGGCACTCCTCAGGGACTAGTGCTAGGACTATTTAACATCTTTGTAAGTGACATGGACAGTGGGATTGAGTGCACCCTCAGCAGGTTTGCAGACAACACCAATCTTAGAGGTGCAGTTGACACACTATAGGGAAAGAGTGCCATCCAAAGGGACCTGGGCAGGCTGGAGATGTGGGCCCATGCCAACCTCATGAAGTTCAACAGGGCCAAGTGCAACATCCTGCATCTGGGTTGGAGCAGTCTCAAGCACATATACACGTTGGGCATGGAATGGCTTGAGAGCAGCCCTGAGGAGAAGGATTTGGGGGTGTCGACTAATGAAAGACTCAACATAAGCTGGCAACATGCAGTTGCAGCTCAGAGGGCCAACCATATGCTGGGTTGCATCAAGAGAAGCAGACCAGCAGGTCAAGGGAGATGATTCTGCCCCTCTGCTCTGCTCTCATGAGACCCCACCTGGAGTACTGCATGCAGATCTGCAGCCCCTAACACAAGAAAGACACAGAGCTGCGGCTCTTCAGCCTGGAGAAGGCTCCAAGGAGACGTTGTAGCCTTCCAAGAACTAAAGGGGCCCACATGAAAGCCAGGGAGGCTTTATAAGGACATGTAGCAATAGGATGAGGGATACAGTTTTTAAGTGGAAGAGGGTTGATTAAGGCTACATACGACGAAGAAGCTCTTTACTGTGAAGGTGGTGAGCCTCTGGAACGGGTAGCCCAGAAAGGTTATGGATGCCCCATTCCTGGAAGCATTCAAGGCCAGGCTGGATGGGGCTTTGAGCAACCTGGTCTAGCAGGAGGTGCCGCTGCAGGAGTTTGAAGCTAAAGTTCCCTTCCAATGCAAATCATTCTGTGATTCTACAATTCTCTTCAAAATTTAAAAGATCTGAGAATCTTCAACATCCCTTGGAGACTACATTCAAAATTCAGCCTACCTTATAGAATGAAAACTCTATGATGTACTTGCAATAGAAAAAACTGCCCTGAAGCTGTTTATTTTATACCACGTGCTTATCTAAGCAGAAGAGCACCTCTGCTATAATCCTGTATGTCTCATTACAAGTTAAATTACTTGTGATGATTCTGTGCCTTACACACTTACGTACACAAACCACATACCTGGAAAAACACTGCAAAGTTTAGCATTCACAGGAAAAAAAACTTTGTTTACAGCTACTATAAGGTCATACCTGAAACATATACCATTGGCTGTTCTTCATCAGATACTGCATGTAGCTTTGTTAAAGGTAATAAATACAAAAGATAACCAACTGTAACAAGTATTTTGCCTTTAATTTTAAAAGGTGGTTTGTAAGAAAGCAAATCTGGGAAACTTTGAGAGCATCAGAAGGAAGAAAAACTCAATTAGGAAGGAAAAAATAAAAAAGAACACACACTGATTGCTAAAAGAAAAAACACTACTTCTCCTTCACTGTGTCTTTACTTTAGATAGTAAAGTTTATCTCTCAGGTCACCTTCAAGAAACATCCCAGGGAGCAGTCCCAGTTATGGGAGCCATTACTAAGACAATGAAGTGATAATATATTTAAATCAGAGCTGGTTTTCATCATATAACTAATCCCTTGATATGTAGGGAAGACAAACTTCCAGAATAATCCATGTTTGTGCAGCAGTGCAATTCTGTATTTTGTACAGCATGTTCTGAGAAACGTAAATGAGGATAAACGACAAAAACTTTCCAGGGAAGTTGGTGATTCTCATCTGACCATCACATGGCAAATACCAGCTGAAAGCCTGAGGGCCTGTTCTCTTTAACAAGATGAAGAGTTGCTCTGAAACCATTTCTAAAAGTAAGCCATCTAAATTTAGAGTGTTAACTATTAAATTACTTGACTGCAAAAAAACACTCAAAAACTCACACAGGATCTGTCACCATATATTTGGATTATGTTAGCAATCTCTGAACCTGCAACCTTGCCTCCTAGAAACCACTACAAATACAACTCAACACGATTCAGGGAAGGGTGTAAACTACAGAACTTTCCTTAAAACAACAGCTGCATTTACCTGAAAGTCCAGGTTTTTATTCCTACATAAATTACAAACATTACAATGAAGTAAAAAACAAAAGCTGAGGCTACACAGTTCTCCTCCACTAACATTTTGTTTTTTACTGTTTTTCTTTCCTCAGCTGTAAAAGTTTGGTCAGTTAACTCAATGTCTTAGTTTCTGTATTGTTTACTGGTAAGTTTAGGTTTTGTACAGTTGTCTTTGCACAATCAAATCAAATTGTGAAAATACTTCAGCTAACCTATACCAACTATCACTTAAAAACTTATTAAGCTGTCATGTGACATAGAAAACTCCATTAGAAAACAGAAGCTTTCATTTCTGGATAGGAATTTCAGATTCAATTAGTCCTCACTGTCCATTACACAATGGATAGTTGGCACACTGGAAAGGCTTAGTCACATACTTCACTGTAATCTTTTTGATCCACATTATCACTTATGAATAATTATCTCTCATCATCTTAGGCCAGTTTGAGACCAACTTCATCTCATACTGGCGCCAATAGTTTCTCTACAAGCACTGAAAGCACTTCTGTTCTCACCCATAAGCTGCAGCCTGCTCTCTCTGTCAGAGTACAAAGTGGGGTCATGCCATGAACCAGGTGAAAAAGCTGAATCAACTCTAAAAGTAAAGCACCACGTTTCCTCTTTCAAAAATCACTAATGCAGATCAAGACTGGGTAACAGCCACATCCAAACAGCTGTGTCAGCAAAGCTATGACAGCAGTCTGCAGGATACCAACGAGATCTTCAACTCATACTGCTACTAGAAACAACAAACTTCAGCACTGGCAATTTATTTCTCAGCTGACATATGGTTAATCTGTGTCAACAACACATGTCTGCAGAAAAAAAACAGATTAGCCTACAGAAACTGGGCTTTTTAAGTTTGCCACCCATATTGGCACTGTTGTAGATAAATACCTAATAGAGGGATGAAAAAAATTAGAAGTTGATGCTGTTTCTCCCCCAAGCTATCAGAACCATTCTCCCACAAAGGTTTGCTACCTAGTATATTAGATTAAGCTGAAGTCAGACCAGTTTTCCTTAATTAGTGGGACTGAAAACTGCCATAAACAGGCCCACGATCCCTGTCTCAGAGTGAAAGACTGGGGACATTATGAGCATCAGCCATTTGAAATTAATTCACTGCCATATGCTCTCAAGATTCCAAATGGGTTGACTGTGAATGTTATAACCCTGCTGGCATTATAGCTAATGTTCAAGGCAACAGTAGTTGCCCTACAGCAAACTAGAGACGCACAGCAGTGCAGTATATTGGAGTCTGCCTCGCTATGCAGCATCTATTTGGCAATTACAGAGAAAAGTTCAATTTTCCTTGGTTAGTAAGTCAATATTACCAAATCTCCCAAGACCCAAACCCCTCTTCTTTAAAAGCATCTACTATACTATTTATTCTTGGGATTGACCTATTTCAGTGTACTTAACCTTTTCTAAAACTGGAAGCAACACTATTCACTTGCAAAAACACATATAACAGAAGATTCCTTGGAATATCTTGATGCATGAGAGCAATGCTATTGTGTGCTCTGAAGACCGTATACGGTCATAGGAGATAACCTGTCACCCAATAATCAATTGTTAAAAATACACAAATACAGCAATTGTAACTGTGTCAACTTTTTCACAGCTAAACTGGGTAGTGACACTGCAGCAACAGATCTGATATGAAAGAGAAAGTTGCCCTATATAAATTTTTTTAAGCACAAATTAGAAATCTTCCAAGATTTATAACAAAGTGCCCCCTACACAGCCCTTTGGATGGCTGGCCCATTCCACTCGTGCATTGTTTTGGAGTGTTTGGGCAATCAAACATAAATACAAGAGCACTCACGCATACCTTTCTTTTGAATCACTTTTGGCTGAGGCTGAAATCTCAACCTCAGCACCAGCAACTGCAATGCCTCAAGTCCCTCTGACCTACAGCTAAATATCAGCACATAAATTTCATAGAATCATATCACAGAACCATGGAATGGCATGGGTTGAAAAGGACCACAATGATCATCTAGTTTCAATCCCCCTGCTATGTGAAGGATCACCAACCACCAGACCAGGCTGCCCAGAGCCACATCCAGCCTGGCTCTGAATGCAGGCCAGACCTCCTGTCATGTCGCATTAGTTCTCCACACCTTCAACCCACAGGTCTTCTAAGTCAGCCAAGCCTCTCACTCAGCTTTATGAGTCGAAACACCAATGCCAGCTCTCTAGCATGTCTGAGCCACGTAAGCCTACCTCGCTAGCCAGTCCTTCTCGTGCTGCACCCCAACAGCACAACGGCTGTGTGCTCCACCTGCACGCCCAGCACTGCAGTTGCACACCTCCTGCAGACCCACCTCGGCCTGGCGCTCACCTCTCACACACGGAGCTCCCGGGTGCCCACAGGCTCACCCTAATAGCCTAGCTCCCACTCCAGTCACAAAAGACGTACTTTCCACACCTTTTTCGTGCCGCCTGAACCTTCAGCTCAGCGTCTCCTTGCCGAATTCCCTTCCACACCTCCGTGTCCCCTCATTCCCTCCTTGCTACCCCGTAAGGTGTCGACGGACCCAGCGGTCCCAGCCCGCAGGACGGGCTCCGGATCCCTCCCTACACACCGCGATCCCCCGTACCTCCTTTGAGAGGATCGCAGTCCCTCGGACCCCGTCCCCCATCCGAGGCTGCAACCCCTGCCTCAGTTTCCCCACTCCGCTGCCCCCTCCCCCCCACGGCTGCCTCTCGCCCTCCCTCCCACCCCTCTCCCTCCCCTTCCCACAGCCCCCTGGCGCCAGCGCCCGCCTCCAGGCCGTGAAAGGATACTGTCCCGGCTCCAATACACATCCCCGCCCGGCTCGGGGGCCACCTCCGCCATCTTGAAACAACCGCCACTCCCAGAGTGCCCCCCGCCGCCCCCCCAGTGCTTGGCGCCTATTGGCTGCCCGCACCGCCTTCTCCATGCAGCCGGCCGGAAGAGCGAGGCATTGTGGGAGTGGTAGTCCACCGGGCGTTAATTACCGCTGCCGCTGCGGGCTGACCGCGCGGGAAGGACTACAGCTCCCAGCGCACCCCGCGGCCTAGCGTTGCTACGGGCTGGGAGAAGGACAAACGCGCGCGTTTCCCCACTCACACACCCACACGCGCATCGGTCTCGCCGGTGTGAGGGGCGCCGGGCAGCGCCCTGCCGAGATGGAGGAGAAGCCCTCCGCCGGCATCAGGCCCCACCTGGACAAGCTCACCCTGGGGGTGACGCGTATTTTGGGTGAGCGCTCGGCGGGTGCGGGGCGTGGCCGGGTGGGCGCCGGGAAGAGGATCCTCAGTGGTGGGTGGTGGGCAGTGGGAAAGTCGGGCTGCAAGGAAGAGCACACGTAAGCTTCTCGTCAGCCCTCAGGTGGGCTCTGGGCTCGTGGCTGGTGGAGGCTCCAGCGATCAGCGTGGTGAATTCGGGCTCCTCCGGCCTTTTGTCTGGTGTGGAGCTGTGGTTGGAAAAATAGGCATCTGTCCCAAGCCTTGCATACGGGAGCGTTACAAGCAGCAATTTGCGGAGTGTTTTCTTAGGGATTTTAAAGCCCACAGTTGCTGATGTCATTATTTAATCCATATTCTTCACTGCAGGACAGAGAGAAAGGCCTCACTGCTGCCTTCCACTACTTGAGGGGGTCTTACAAACAGGAAGGGGTTCGAATTCTTGAACAATCTGTTCAATAGGGCAAGAGGGAATGGATTTAAACTAAGGGAGAGGAGATGTAAGTTAGATGTCAGGAAGAAATAATTTACTCAAAGGGTGCTGAGGCCCTTCCACAGTCCTTGGAAGCACTCATGGCTGGGATGATGGGGTCCTGGGCTGCCTGATCTGGTTAGGAGCAACAGCCCATAGCTTGGGGTTGGAACTGCGTGAACTTAAGGTCCCTTCCAAACTATGCCTTTCTGTGATCAGGTACCTGAAGTTTATCACTAATCACAAAAGTTCTTGGGTTGCCTCTTAGACAAATGAGATTAAAAGATCAGGGCAAAATTTCTGTCACAGCCATCAGTGAGGATAGTGTTTTGAGCCCAGATTCTGTGCAGTTTTTTTTTTTTTTTTTTCTGAAAACTTCTGATTGGGCTTCTTACCAACAGTGCTTGGAGTGCATACAAAGAGGGCTGGAAATAGGGAAGGAGAAGTAACTGTCCCCCTCTACTCTCCTCTCATGAGGCCTCATCTGGAGTACTGTGTCCAGGCCTGGGGCCCCAAGCACAAGAAGAATGTGGAGCTGTTGGAGTGGGTCCAGAGGAGGCAATGAAGATGATCAGAGAACTGAAGCACCTCTTCTGCAAAGGGAGGAAGGGAGGGAGCTTGGCTTGTTAAGTCTGGAGAAGTCTCCAAGGAGACCTCATCACAGTCTTCCAGTGCTTAAAGGGGTCATATAAACAGGAGGGGGAACAACTTTTTGCCCAATGTCTTAGTGATAGGATAATGAATGGCTTTAAGCTAAAAGAAAGGAGATTTGCGTTAGATATTAGGGAGAAATCATTACTCAGAGAGTGGTGAGGTCCTCACACAGCCTGCCCAGGGAAGATGTGGGTGCTCCATCCCTGGAGGTGCTCAAGGTGGGGATGGATGGAGGCCCGGGCAGCCTGAGCTGGTGGAGGGCAACTGTGCCCACAGCAGAAGGTTTGGAACTGGTTAGTCTTTAAAGTCTTTTCCAACTTAAGCCATTCTGTGATTTTCAAGATCTGTTTTCTTTTGTTGTTTGGGGTTTTTTTTAATTTTGTTTTCCAAGTATGAGTTCATAATTTCCCCATCACTTTACTCCAAGAGCATTAAAAGGTAGAACAACCGACGATCAACATCATGGAAAATGCATCCGTTAGCAGATCTTTTCATAAAATTACTAGCCTTTCCTACATTGTGTATTGTACAAGATGGCAGTGCAAACCCTAGTCTGTTGCTGGAATGTTTTCTTTTTTCTATTTTTTGTTTTGTTTTGTTTTCATAGTCTGTCCATTTCTTCTGGAAACTTCACACATTTTGTGCTGAGTGAAGTAGTGTGATGCATGAGATCTACATCACCATACTAATTGGTGAATGGAGTGGTGAATGGAGTTAAATCCAGCTGGCGACCGGTCGTGAGTGGTGTTCCCCAGGGCTCGGTGCTGGGGCCTGTCCTCTTCAATATCTTTATTGATGACCTGGATGAGGGCATCGAGTGCACCCTCAGTAAATTTGCAGATGACACCAAGTTGGCTGGAAGTGTGAATCTGCCTGGGGGTAGCGAGGCCCTACAGAGGGATCTGGACAGACTGGAGAGCTGGGCTGAAGCCACTGGGATGAATTTCAACAAGGCCAAGTGCCGGGTCCTGCACTTTGGCTACAACAACCCCAGGCAGCGCTACAGGCTTGGGGTGGTGTGGCTGGAGGACTGCGTAGAGGAAATGGACCTGGGGGTATTGATTGGTGCTGGGCTGAACAGGAGCATGCAGTGTGCCCATGTGGCCAAGAAGGCCAATGGCATCCTGGCTTGCATCAGGAACAGCGTTGCAAGCAGGAGCAGAGAGGTGATTGTTCCCCTATATTCAGCACTCGTGAGGCCGCACCTCGAGTACTGTGTCCAGTTTTGGGCCCCTCACTGCAAGAAAGACATTGAGGCCCTTGGAACGTGTTCAAAGGAGGGCAACAAAGCTGGTGAGGGGTCTGGAACACAGGGCTTATGAGGAGAGGCTGAAGGAGCTGGGAATGTTCAGCCTGGAGAAGAGGAGGCTCAGGGGAGACCTCATTGCTCTCTATAACTTCCTGAAGGGAGGTTGTAGTGAGCTGGGGGTCGGCCTCTTCTCTCGTGTCATTAGTGATAGGACCAGGGGGAATGGTTTCAAGCTACGGCAGGGGAGATTCAGGCTGGACATGAGGAAGTATTACTTTTCAGAAAGGGTGGTCAGGCACTGGAATGGACTGCCCAGGGAGGTGGTGGAATCACCGACCCTGGGGGTGTTCAAGGAAAGACTGGGTGTTGTGTTGAGGGACATGGTTTAGTAGGAGCTATTGGGAATAGGTGAACGGTTGGACTGGGTGATCTTTTAGGTCTTTTCCAACCTTGGTGATTCTATGATTCTAATTCAGATTACCCAAACTGAAAATTTGGGGAAACCATTACGTATCTTTTCAGAGTTTGTTTCTTTCAAAGAACGAAAGCTATCTGATTAAGAAATAGGTCTTAGTAGGCTACAGACCTAGAAGTTACCTTATTTTAAATCTAATGTGTCACATGAATCTCATGGATGCCTTTCTGCCTGGTATGACATAAAAACGGTGGTCACTTTTAAAAACTCTTCAGTTTTTTAAATATTTTTTTAGCAAATAAGCATGATTGTGTAATGAAACTCAACACATGCCTTTCAAATGACAAAATTTTGGATGTCTACTAATTAGGAGCTTGAGGCCCAATTTTCTAATACCTTTATGAAGATGCTCATGGTACCATTTCAGAAACCAAATTCTGTAGATAAATTCTACATAGGGAGTTTTTGCTTGTTTGTTTGTCAAACTCCTGTTCTTTGTGGAAGTCTCTGGAAAGTTTGACGTTTGTCAGGAGAATTATGGAGGCTATAGTTTTAGGGGGAGAAGCATCCTGTTCCCTCTCCAGTACGACTCAGTTTGCTGAACTTCTGTAACTAATGGCAATCAGCCTTTCTGGAATTTGCCCACTAAATCTGAGTAGCTGGTATTAACTGTTCAGGACTGTCCAGAGCTCGGCTATGCTTCAGCCTTTACCTCTTTATTCACTAAAATGTAACAATGTGGACAGTTCCACAAAGATCCTGAATGTTTATCCAACTTCCAGGAAGTATTAGCAGTAATTTAAGGACTGACAGTACCGTGATTTCCTGCTGCAGCTTTGTCCTTCAACCATTATTATGGTCAAGTCTTTCAGATTAATACTGCAAACCATTTTTGGAAGCTTCCACATGGAATTTCCAGAAAACAGGACACATTTTACTGTGATCTGCATTCAAAGGAGTTAATTGGGAAGAGTGCTTTCAACTAGTTAAGCTTTATCCTGTATCTTTTCTCTAACCTAATTGGTCTTCTGATTATTTTTTTTTTCCATCTGGAAGAAAAAGCTACCCATGGCAGACTTATCCTTTTTTTCCTCCTTAATATTTAGTGGAGCTCCCATCTATACTTAAACAGATCTGTTAAATGTGGTATTCAGTTTGCCCACAGGGTATTTTTAACATAACATTCAGGATTTTAAGATGGAGTTTCTTTTTCTTTTGATCTTGGATTTGGTTTAGACCTCTTTAGAAGTTGCAGTTCACTTATTCTTAGACATCTTCCTATGACTGATAGGATATTAAATTTTCCATCATCCCAGCTGAGCCTTTGTGTATGATGAATTAAATATCCCTGCTGTTTTCTTTGATCATAGAAATAACAATTACTCTGTTATTATAATCTCTTAGCATGTTTTAAGACTTGCATAGCTTAGGAGGAAAAGACCGGTTAGATCATCGATTCCCCACACTTCTTTAGACAGAGAATATGTACAAAAGGCTTTTGAGCAAGAGGCAGATCCCCCAAGCAGGCACCCAATGATTGAAGTAAAACTTGGCAAAGCATCAGAGAGTCTTTGTATCTTGGGGCATTGGCTAGAAGGATTACTTAGGTGACTTACTATTTTTATTTTTACTTGGAGTTTGGTTTTCTGATGCTATATTTTATCTTTTAAGTTCTCTATCCCATTTAAAAAGAAAAAGGAAATTAAAACAAAGTTCAGGCTTCCTTAATCTGAGTGTTACTCTTCTGCTAGCAGAGCAGACAAGGGCAACACCACTGTAAGAATTAAAAGCCTAGCTCTGGAGATAAAAACCAAACTAAAGCTTTCTGGTGTCTGTCTTTCCTGTCTACTGCACTGTGTATATTTTATCAGAAAGCAATTACAATATGTGTGACTGCTCTGGTAGCCAATACTTTCACAGCAGAGCCAGTCTTGAAAGCTCTGCATAGTGATCATTTCTGCTCTACAGCCATGTGTGCTGGGCTTGCAATTCCCACAGCAAGAAGTAAGTAGTATTTTTGGATTAGATCCAAAGTGAATGAAGTCAGTGGGAACTATTTTGGTTGGCTGTAGATGAAGTAAAACATTATAAAATAATAAGTGCAAGGGAGACTGTTCTACTGTCATACACCTGCAAGGATAGCACCATCTAGATTAGTATCTTGCATTTATGTAGCATTCTTTTTCATAAAATATTCAGATGATTTTTATAAATGATGAGCTCAATGTTTATAATAGATGTGCATGTGTCCAGCTGGGATTGCAGAGAACTGATGTTTGCCCATACAGGTCCCTTCGGCAGGACCAGATTCTGATCCCTAAACTCAGAACGGAAATGCGCCTGTCTTTGTGGATTATGGTTGTTAAAAATTCATAGTAACACTGCATGACATCTTATGTCAAGCTGAGCATATCATACCCAGCTGAAACCACAGGGCATGCTTACAAACAGAGATTCTTCTTTACTTTGAGTTTGCTCAGTTGCCATGGTTGATTTTTCAATAAAGTATCTGCAAATGACCAGACTCTGAATGCAGAATGTCCTTGTGTACATGCACATATGCAGATGCACACTTGTTTTATTTCTTAATGCATATATGTATATGTAATCACAGAATCACAGAATTGTAGGGGTTGGAAGGGACCTCCAGAGGTCATCGAGTCCAACCCCCCTGCCAAAGCAGGTTCCCTACAGCAGGTCGCACAGGTAATGTGTGTGCATAAGGTATTATGTGTATCTCAGCCATCGAGGGGTGGCATCTTGTGCAGCACTAGGCATTCTTGTGTCAAGACACACATTACAGGAAAGAGAAAGTGACTGCTCAGTCACAAGCACGATGTCTCCAGTTATTAATGCCATTTTCTGAGTTGTCATTCAGGTTAATTTGCAAAATTATATGCCTAACAAAGCTTGGTCTCACCTATGCCAGCAGTAAACATGCTCCTCTTTTCTGTTTAGAGACTTCACCAGGTGTTTCTGATGTGACATTAGTGGAAAAGAAGCCAGCTGATCGCCATGCAATTATTTCATGGGAGCAAGTGAGTATTTTTGTGATAATTCTGCAATGAGCTTAGTCTGAACATACAGCAGTCCATGGAGAATGTCTAATGCAATGGCTATCTTGTGTTTGTGATGCCACCTGTTAGCAAGTTTGATGCAAGTTGTTGGTTCTTGTTTGTTTGTTTTGTTTTTGGTCTTTTTTTAATCAGTTGTTACTCTGCTTTTAGGCTGCCATATGCACCTGATCTGTTAGGGAAATATCACTAGCTTAGAGATGTTCAGAACAACTCCTCGAAGAAGGAGAAGTATTAGTGACTCAGTGGAAACCAGACATTGTCTGACTCAGGATTGAAGTCATTCTCCAACACACTTCTGGGCAAGATTAGGCTCTTTTTACTTATGGGCTTTAAAGGTGAAAGCCTGAAGCTGGAAATTACCTATGAGCCACCAATCCATTCCAATTATCCATTCCGCTTTTCAGCTAATCACTTCCATTTCTCATAACCCTCGCTTTCTCTTTGGCTACACACCCAATCTTTTCCTTGGAGTATGTCCCAGTATCTGTTCAAGAAGACTGTAGTCCACGTGCTAACTCATCACCCCAATAGCTGACTTCACTGTACCAGGCTGTCCGTTCATGAACGCTCATGGGACTTTGGTGGACAGAGGTGACATTTAAGTCTCTTTTTTGAGCGTACGTGCATTTATCAGTCCCATGACCATGTGAGAGTAACTGTTTTCTAGTTATTTCTCATGTGCTGGGAAGGGACGGTTGTACCTCTTCCACCTTTGGCACATAGTTCACAAGAATCACAAGAATCACAAGGTTGGAAACGACCTATAAGATCATCCAGTCCAACCATCTCCTCATCACCATTGCCACCACTAGTACTAAACCATATCACGCAGCACGTCATCCAGACCCGTCTTGAACACTGCCAGGGACGGCGACTCCACCACCTCCCTGGGCAGGCCATTCCAGTGCCTGACTACTCTCTAAGAGAAGAAGTTCTTCCTTATGTCCAACCTGAACCTCCTCTGATATAACTTGCGGCCATTAGTTGAGGATGGAGCTGGGAGAATAATCTGCCATTGAACTCTGACTATGCCTGAATACACATGATCACAGAAGCTGCACTTGTTTCCACTACCTAAAATAACTTCCCCTTTAATATCATGCTATGCACAGTTTTTTTCTAAAATGTTGTGCTAGGTCTAGTAATATCCCATCCTGACTGGTGTCACTTATTTGTAATTTACCTGTGTTAGTATCTAAAACATGTACAGTGGCCAATAACTGTGGTCAGGCAGAAATGTATGGTTTTTCAGCTTCGTGTGAACTGATTCCTGATTTTGTTTAGCTGTTGTTCAGGTGTTGGAATAACTGGGCTGGAAAATCAGAAGCACCCTGGCTGTGAGCCAGCTCAGATCCGGGAGTTCACTCCTTTTTCTGTAGAGTGGAGATGGCTGACCCTGCAGAGCATGTTGTTGTTCTCATTTCCAGGTGGTCTTATCCTCAAAATCCATTTAGTTTTGTTCCAAATTTGAACTATCCTTGTAAAACCAAACTT